ATGCACAACTACTGGCTTAGGAGGGAGCACTTCAATTAATGTAGCACGGGATGTCAAAATGTCTCGATAAGAGACTCACTGCTCTCCATAGTGATTTTTGAAATCCATTTCTTTTCACATTGTTAGAGTCCAAGTGTATGTGTGAGGGGGAAAGTTTGAGAGGGAGTATTTATGTGGTTGACTTTTTTTTTTTTTTTTTTTTTTTTTTTTTTTTTTTTTTTTTTTTTTAAGTATCAAGGAACAGTGAAGCGTTTTGCTCTCATGTCAAAATGGAAAGTTCTTAAAACATTGTAGTTATTGCAGTTAGTGATTAATCTGGAATTATCTGCCAGTGCCAGCTGACTATTGTTAGTAGGTTTTTAAGTTGTGTTTTTAAAAAATTATAATTGTATCCAAAGGCTTGTGTTTTATAAATACAAATAATGGCCAAGATTGTCAACAGTGTTTTGAGATTGCTCAATTCAGACACACTGAAGGAACATAATACACAGAGGATGAGTCCTCTGTACTTTCTGTAGTGGGTTCTCATATCCTGAACACCCAAAAATGTAAACACTCAAAATCACTGATAGCTTTTGAAAAACTTGGTCATCATAATGTCCTGTCTTCAAAAATTCTAGCAGAGATTTCATATGGGTTTACCTCCGACCTCCACAAAAAGGTTAAAACCCTTCAACACTATGTGGCTGGGCTGTCATTCAGTCAATGCTCCCAGACACAACAGCTAGGTTTGCCAGTATTGCAGGGGTAATATATTATTATGAATCCTATATACTACAGTAGTGCCTAAGGGCAAACCAAGGGGGGACCCTATTGTGCTAGGTCAGAAGTGGGCAGACTTTGTGCTCTGAGGGCTACATGTGGGTACAGAAATTGTACGAAGGGCAATCAATGTGAATGTTACGGAGATGGGTGTTGAGGACTCTGTAGGGCATAGTGGGGGTGGGGAAGGACTAAAGAGGAGCTGTACCAGGGAAGCAGTGGAGCAGTAAAGGTAAGTCTGGGTAAGGCTTACCTGCTAAGCCTCTGAACAGCTCCACCCACTGACTGCACTGCCTGAAGCACCGGAGCTGGCAGGAAGGCAGGACCTGAAGCTTATGGGGAAGGGAGTCCAAAGGGGAGGGACCAGGGACTAATGTCCCTGGTGGCCGAATGACAAGCTATCCCTGCTCACTGTGCTGCCCAGGAGTGGGGATGGCTCCTCCCAGCAAGGCTCTTCTGACCCTGCTGCCTGGCAGGAGCTTGGGGACCAAACTGAAGGGTCTGATGGGCCAGATGGGAGACTCAGGCCATAGTTTGCCCCTCTCTGTGCTAGGTGCTATACAAACAGAGCAGTGAATGGTCCCTGCCCCATAGAACTTACAATCTAAATAGACAAGGCAAACACATTGTAGATGAAAGAATATAACGTGTATTAAAAGATAAGCTTATTTAATTGGGGATAAAGTACATGGGAAAGTAAGGGAGATGAGAGGGACAGGGCAGGGAATAAGAGGGTAAGAGGAGTAGGTGTTGAAGTGAAGCTTTCATGTAGAAAACACCCATTTGATGGCCTTCCCCTTTAAGCAGAGTTCAGACTATGGAAAAGCATCTATTGTTCTCACTAATTAACCCAGTTCCTTACTCAATTATATATACACACATGCAGAGGTTGTTAATCTCTTCTGTGAATTTCCGGAGAGAGTTTCCTTGGAGTTAGGTGCTAATGTGCCTTTGAAAATCACCCACTGCTCAGTTTCAATTCTTAAGTATAGTTTATTTATAGCAACACACACTGCAACCACGCCACTCTTTGTGATGCTTACAGCAGTATTTATTAACCTCTTTTATATAATCTTCTATGGAACACACAGCTTAACAGGAAAAGAAAAGGAAATTAACACAGCAACAAAAAGAAGCTTACATATTTATTAAATTCTTTTCTTGTCCTTAGACAGTCCCATGTCATCATTTTCCCCCACCCCCAAGTCTTTGTTCTGTTTGGAGGTTTTTTCTTCTCAGCTTCCTAAAAGGATATCACTTTCAAGTGACTTCTTCTAGGGATGTTAACTAGCGATTAATTTACTAGTTGAGTAGTGGATGGAATTTCCGTCGACTAGTCGATAAGCATTTCCACGTTCTGCCTTTGAAATGTACAAGAACTCCAGCAGGGGCTCTTGTGCCTTTCAAAGTTGGAATGCCGCATGGAACCCAGGGCCAGTGGGACTTCCTCTTTGAAATGCACAATAGCCCCTGCTGGGGCTCTTGTGCATTTGAAAGCGGAAGCGCCCGCATGGAATCTGGAGTCAGCTGGGGAGTCCCCAGCTGATCTCGGGCTCCAGGCGGCGCTGCTGCTTTCAAATGCCCGTGGAGCCTGAGCATTTCAAAGTGGCTTGGAGCCCAGGATCAGCGGGGGACTATCCTGTCGACTATCCGATAAGTATTTGCTTACCGGATAGTTGACTAGTTCTTAACATCCCTAACTCCTACTATATGTAAGTTGTACTTCTGAGGCTCCTCTGTAGGATTCAGCATATCCTGCTCCAATAGAGTATTCATGTCTGTCTCATACACTTCAGCATTCATTCCAGCTGTTGTATTCTCAACTGTTGTATTCTCAGTTTCTGAGTTAACCAAGTTGAAATGCTGTCCTCTTCTTGTAGCTCCTTTGTGTATCCTTGAGGATAACTTTGAGCTTGGTTCTGGGTCTCAAATGGAGACAGAACTGAATAGCGTCAATACCAAGGTTATGGTCATCTCTGTCCTTTCCCCTGATTTGATGGAATCAAACTAGCTCACCAGTTATAAAAAGTTTCCCCATATGATCTTCCATCATATTATTTAATACTCTGATATTTTATCTAAGGGTCTTCAAATACATACATATACATATACATATACATATACATATACATATACATATACATATACATATACATATACATATAGTAACTCAAGTGACCCATAGTCCTTTGTTCCATAGATTTAGGGTCCTCAGCTGATGATCAAACAATGAGGAGTCATGAGGTACTATTACAACTCTTGATTTCTCTCTTCACTGGGCTTTTGGAAATATTGAAATCATCAGGTATTGTTAGGCAGACATCTTAGGCAAGAACAAGAACATCAGTAACAATGCTGTCAATTGGAGATGCCCCCTCCCAGATGATAGTCCTCTCACTGCCTTAGCAAAGACTCCTTTGGACAAAAGCACCATATTTTACATTGTTGTTTCTGTGTTTTATCAAATAAAATGCCTTCAGAGATTGGGAAAGGATTTTTTTTAGCCCCACAGTATCCAGGTGTGTTTCCCGATTTCCTATACAAAATTGCCTCTTTTAAATTCTAGATTTTTCCATTCTGAGCAAAAGCATATGCTGTCTCTGTATTGAGAGAACACTATATTCCACAATGGTTGTGATTTTCTTCTATTGAAACATTCCATTGTTTCACCATCATTCACTGTGATACCTAAATGCAACTTGAACTTACAATCATTTACTGCTCAGGACTCTCTTGCTCTTGGACTGCACCACTCGCTTAAATCCTTCCCATTCTTGGGCAAAAATTTGCCCTTAATCTCTAAATATATGCATCTATCTAAGATGAAAAAGTTCTTTTTTAAAGCATGGATAAGACCAAACTGGGACTGCTAAATGCCTTTTTGTAATTCTTTAAATACCAAATTGCACTCCGCTGAGCACTAAAATGTTCACTGAATTATGTACAATGGTTTTACACTGGCAAATGTAGAAATAAGAGCAGAGCCCTTTAAGACTCCTAACATATATGAGAGTTTGAAGGAGTATGGAGTTGGCCGATTCCCCAATGACCTTTTTGGAAATTCCTTTCTCACTGATCATATTGCAAGGTAAGTTACAGCTTCTTGAAACTGCTTGCATATCTGTAGGCTCAGTTTCAAAATGGTATTCACAAGCTTTATACCATCCCATACTCCCTTTATAAGTAATTTAAAAGTCTTGGGTGCAGAGCAGATGCTAAAGAGGCAGCACTACTTTGTCTTTGAAAAAGAGCCCCAAAACTGCCAGTTTTCAAAGACCTCAGTTAAGAACAGTTGTGGAAAATGAAACCAGTTACCTCGTGAATCATCAACTTGTGGCGAATGTTAGAAATCCTTTAAAGGTGACTTCATTGTTTTCCTGTATAAACCTCACAAACTCCAGTGCTGTTAGGAGAAATGTTTAAAATATGGGCCTCCATTTTTGCACCCTTTGCACTTGCTGTATCACCTCCCCAAGCACACTAATCCAGTGGTTCCCCAACTGGCTTGCAACTGGCATGGTGCACACGTTTACTCCTCACATGAATGGTATGTATGGGCAAGATCATGCTGCATGAAGAATGCCATTTTTTTCTAGAGCAAAATGGCATCCTGTACCCAACATGACCTTGCACATAATGACATCCTTCCTGTTGCCAGGGGTCATAGGAAGTAATAAAAAGCTGAAAATGCAAGCAGAAAGTTTGGAAACTGCTGCGCTAGTGCAGTCAGCCCATTCCCTGATAAAACCATTTTAAGCACTATGCTGACAAGTCTTGCTCTGAGCTGCTCTAAAACAAACCGTGCTTAAAGAGACTTTAGTGGCTTATCAATGTGTCTACACTTAGGACTCTCAACATGACTAATACTGTAAATGGGCCTAAGACTTAAAGCCAGCAGGGTGCATTAATCTCTTTGTGTACAGCTGTTCTGAATCTCACAACAGAGATATTCTTAATTCTATGGACTTACTGGAGCCCTGGTGTTTAAGCGGATCTGTTGTTAACTAGCTTATCAGTCTAAAAGCATATATTGCTCTCCTCCAAACTCAGTAGTAAATTGCACACATCTGGGACTGGCTGTAAACCTGTTCTGCGGGCTTCTGTCCCCAAGTAGAGCTGATTGTGCCAAATGTATTTTTCATACCGCTACCACTTTTTCCACAATAGTAATATTTTAAGTAAATGGGGCCAGCTGTGCTAAAATATGCTTTAACTTTTCATTCTTTTAATGTTGACAGGATTCCAAGCTCCAGCTCCCAGAAGACCTTGCCATGGCACCAAAAAATTGTACTGCTGCTAATCTCAGCAAACGACAGACAAGTGTAATCAATAGTAGACATTCACGGGAGAAAGCTAGGCCTCTCATTGAGGTAGCCAGCTCGTTGGTGAGACAATTATCTGAACAGCAGAAGATGACTAAATCCTTTTTAAACCAGCTTAAACAAGTGAATTTACCACCAGCAGTGCGCCCTTTAAATAAGAGTTTAATCATAGATGGCAGATGGAAAACCACAGATGAAGCTCAAGAGAAACGCAGATCTTTTCTTTATGACTTCTGTAAAAAATACAATCGTGAGAACCGGCTCAGAACCCATCTACTGCATATGGTATCCAGAATATATGTGGAGGACAGACACAAAATCTTATACTGTGAAGTGCCTAAAGCAGGCTGTTCCAATTGGAAAAGGATTCTGATGGTGCTCAATGGACTTGCTTCTTCAGCATACAGTATTAGCCATGATGCCGTACACTATGGAAAGCATCTGAAGAAATTGGACAGTTATGACTTAAAAGGGATACAGACACGTTTAAATACCTACACTAAAACTATATTTGTACGTGACCCCATGGAAAGACTGGTGTCTGCATTCAGGGATAAATTTGAACACCCAAACAGCTACTACCACCCAGTGTTTGGAAAGGCTATTATTAAGAAATACAGACTTAATGCACAGGAGGAGGCACTGAAAACAGGATCAGGTGTTAAGTTCAAAGAATTCATTCAGTATTTATTAGACTCCCACCGCCCAGTAGGAATGGACATTCACTGGGATCAGATCAGCAAACTCTGCTATCCCTGCTTCATCAACTATGATTTCATAGGAAAATTTGAAACTCTGGAGGAAGATGCCAATTACTTTTTGCAATTGATAGGTGCCCCAGCACAGTTGAAGTTTCCTAATTTCAAAGACAGACATTCCTCTGATGAAAGAACAACTATGGAAGTTGTGAGACAGTACTTAAAGGAGCTGTCCAGGACAGACACACAGCTGACCTATGATTTTTATTACTTGGATTATTTAATGTTTAATTACACAACACCAGTTGTGTAGCTCTGAATGATTTTTAAATTCTATCAGACATTTAACATTTTGGCCTCAAGCCAGCAACTGTAATGTTACCTTAAAGCTCTGAGTGGACAGAGTTGTAACTGCTACGTGGAATTGGCTTGACTTAGTGGAGATTTTATGAATGAAAGTGACACCAATTGACACAATTATAGGAGAAGAGCACAAAAAGACCTGTAAACGATTTACATTGCACTGAAATGATGGGGGAAAACTGCTGTTGAGTAATGGATTCTATTGTGGCAGCAGTAATCTGGCCAGCTGTTTCATTAGCTTCGCTAATGTTCTTGTGATGATTTGAAAAACATTCAAAATAGCACAGATTTGCGTGTGTGTCTGTATAGGAATAATATATCAAGCTTTTTGAATTTTTATTAAGATGCCACAGACTGAAAAATATTATTGGTAAATTCTATAAGATATATGTAATGTTATCAGTGGCAGTGATGTACCCATTTATCACCTACTGCCTCTCTTGGCATTTTAATTTTTAAATAGTGTACATCATATGAAGGATTTCTATGAGCAAAACCCTGAACCTGGTGGCCATCCTAAGTATCTGGCAGAACAATACAGTGGTTGCTGTGGAACATCTGTGGAGGTTTTCTATGGCAGCAACGGCAGTACATGGCTATTGCCCCCCATCACAGGCAGTGAAAGATCCTGTTGCATGGGCACCCATTATTTTAGGATCGTTGGTAACCATGATCACAGTTAAATAGGGATTACTATATTGCAACAGCTGCTTCCGACAGAATGGTTGCCATGGGTTGTGAGCTGTGTTCTGGTACCTTTTCTCTCCTTTGCTGAGTTTGGGCCATCAAGCAGCAAACCTCAGAAAGATGGAGGATGCTGCTTTCTGAAGTGACAGGATAGGAAATGGCCACTGTAATCCCTGAGGCAGATTTATGGAATGTGAGTACAAAATCCCATTATCCTGGTTATAACGGTATAGAACCTGAGGGCAGGAGGGTGGAATACCCTATTTGTGACAGATGTAATGAAGACAAGTATATCTTGAGACTACTGTATCTAACTTATAACTATTATCTCTATTTCCATGAGCCAGGTATGTCTGGTTGGGGAGGATTTTCAAGCTCCACAAGTAACTAAAACGATTAGGAAGTGATTAATGTAAAAATCCCAAGGCTGGGTTATGGAGATATCCAGCTCTTTGAGGCTTCAGTTTCCTGGGGGAAAGGGGTGTTGATTTGTTTTACCTGGTTTTAGGAGGCTGACAAAGGGTTTGGGGGGTATAGCAGACTCAAGAGCCACCTTTAAGATTTAATAAATGGATGTGACCTTTTGTTCAAGGGAGCACCCAATCCCACTGAAAGTCTGGAAAACTGGAACGTCCAGGGTCCATAGGACAGATGGGGAGTCCGATCTTGGTTTTGCTTTGTGTTTTCATTTTTAGCTTTAAATAAATGTACCTTGCTTTGGAAAAGCTGTGTGGTCATTGCTAATAACAGTTGTCTAGTTCTTAATTGTTCTAAAGTGCAGAGGCTGCACGTTTGTCAGACCTGCTAGGGAAAATCACAGAAAGTGCCAAAGTGACTACAGGCTAAAACCTCAGGTCAGAATGGAGTGGGACATGGGTCTCTGCCCAGAGAGAAGTAAAGACTTAGAGGCCTGGGACCTGAGCAGATCATGGAGACGTGGGGTTGAACATGCAGTTATCCAGAAATTCTTACACACTCATCTGTGATGCAATCAGTTGCTTCTGAAGCATTATGGTATAGATGCTTGGAATGTTCCAGAAGGTGGGAACCCTCCTCAAAAACTCGGGAAAAGTCTCCATAAAATCTCTGCTAAACCTATGAGAGCAAAACCCAACATTATTTTTTATTTTTTGTAGTTTTGAAATAGTTGCTTCCAGTCTCGGGATACGAGGAATTGTAGAATGAAGAGAACCTTCTATAGAACTCTGTGGTTAGTGACTCTCCATTCTTCATTATCAGAATGACTGCTTCCAAGGTTCCTTCCCCAAATAACTGTATGGCTCTAATATTGCCAAAGGCACAGTTGCCGAGGCAGGGAGGTAGGAGAGCATTTCCCCATCACAAACCTAGTCTGAGGAGTAGGGGCACTGCAGTGCCGTTTTCTAATCTCAACTCTCAGCCTGTGGTAGAAAAGAGGAAAGGGGGGGAGGCCAGTTTTAACCCCATAAATGCTGCTGTCCAGGAGGCCTATCGTACAGCTGATGATCACAGGTTAGCAAATCGCTCAAAGCTGAGAGCAGTGAAAGTTCCAAACTGACCCATTAGAGGGAAGAGTTTAGCGTCCTCCCTGCTAGCTGCACTTGTAGCAAGGGGATGGAAGAGTGCGCTTCCCCCAAAACTGGACCATGGGCACCTTTCAGTTCTTCTCCCAGTGAGGTAGGAAGGGAATAGGCACCCTACATTGAAGAGACTGTACACAAAGGTTTGTGGGAGAGAAAAGAGAGTGGGAAAGAAACATGGAGAGAGGACACTGCGGGATAAGGAACATAAAGGCATACAATGTTCCAGGCATGTACGCACAGGGAAATATGGCAGGATTGTGTGTGCACACATGGATGCCTATGAAGTATGGCTATATATTTTAGTGTACAAATATAGGACATTGTGGGTCTTTTGAAGGAAAGTACTTGGTACATCTCTGGAGCCATCTTATGGGCAAAAATTACTTCACTGATTTTTCCCCCCCTTTTTCTCCCTCTTGTGACTCCAAATGTTTTTGGTGGTTGCTGCTGTGGATCCAGCAAGCCAATGAAACTGTATGGGTGAGTAAAGTCATGTGTATGATTAAATATTACAGGGATCAGGGATTATGTGTGTTGAAATATTTTCCCTCAGATACAATTGCTGGCCTTTCTTCAAGGGTGTCTTGAGTATTCACACTTGTAGGATTTGGCACCTTTTCCATATTGCTGTGTCCAGTGGGGGCACACAAGTGTTTTCATGTGAAGATGATCTCTTTAAGGGTGTGCACTCCCAACCACCTCTGTTCCTTGACTGCTTCCAGGAGAGCTAGCAACTGTTACCTTTCTAATATCCTTAGTGAACAGAACCATCGCAGCCCCCTTTTTATTTAGTGCAAGAACCATCCCCAGCTTCCCTCCAGGTCCGTTCAGCTCTCATTTGAGCCACCAAAAGCGTATTAAAGACAGGCCCACTGCTCTGCTCTTAGGTTCTTTCTAAAACCATTCTTTCTACAAAGGAGCCTCCTCTGTCCTTGGATTTAACCTTGTAAATGACCAGACTCATAGGGCATGTCTTCACGATGCGGAAGATTGACACTGCCATGGTTGACCTTCTGGGGGTTCAATTTAGCAGATTTAGTATAGACCTGCTAAATTGGACTCAGAGGGCACCCCCATCGGGATGTAAGGAGTAAGGGATGCTGACGGGACACTGTGTGAATGGCATGGAAGCACAGGGAGCTGGGGGCTGTTTGTAGGAGCGCATGGGGCAGCTTTGCGAGCCGTGGAGGAGGCTTCGTGAGCTGCACTTTCAGGGGTGAAGAGCCGCATGCGGCTCGCGAGCCCCAGGTTGGCCACCCCTGATTTAAAATATGTGAATTCCAGCTACATAATTAATGTAGCAGGAGTTGCGTATCTGAATTCGACCTCCACTGTAGTGAGACCAGGCCATAGGGTCTCTCTTTTGAGCCTCTTAGAGGAAGTGTTTTAGAGCATCTGCCTATAAAGGTAGTTTTCCTTATAGACATCAACTCTTCAGGAAGGGCAAGTGCACTCCACCCACTCCTGGCCACACCACATTGCACTATGGCTCATAGGGACAAGGTGACCGTGAGGTCACACCCTAATTTTATACTCACAGTGATATCAGACTCCACCTTGTCCAATATATCTGCCTTCTAGAGCTCTCTGTACCCCTGCTTCCACTCCCAGGAAACACGTCTGCACTAGGGATGTAAGCGACTAGTCAACTATTGGATAAGCAAAAGCTAGTTGCTTCACCCCTTCCTGACACTCTCAGAAAGAGGTTGCAAGCAGGGGGGAGAACTGGAAGGGGCTCTTGTACATTTCAAAGTGGAAGTGCCGCATGGAGCCCGGAGCTGGCCCCAGGCTCCAAGCAGTGTTTCAGTCTTTGAAATGCATAAAAGCCCCTGCTGGGGCTCTTGTACATTTCAAAGGCGGAACACTGCACTTCTGCCTTTGAAAGGTTAGCAACAGCTGGGCGGACTTTTGCTACATTCTGAAGCGGAAGTGCCCTTATCAACTAATTGAATAGTTGATGGAAATTCCATCGACTATTTGTTTAGTTGATTAATTTTAACAGCCCTAGTCTGCACATTCTAGATGCTAAAATTACACTGCTTTTACCTGAAAAAAATCAAACCCTTCAAAAAAATCCAAGACTGTTCATCAAAAAAGGTACCAGGGAAAACCTGTTTCCAAGAGAGGCTGTCCCACTGAATAAAAAGACATGCAGCATTGCATTACACCTCACCCATCTTCCATTCAAGGGCACTGCTTGCTACTTTCCCATGAGTACGTATGCTCGCAGACCCTCAAAAAAGAATGGAAGGTTCCTCACAAGGAACTTTTGGTCTTCAAGTATTGCCTTGTGCAGACTTACTGGCTAAGTCATGCGAAAACTATTAGCTGCTTTGGCTTCATTAGGATTTTACTTCATTGGATAATGCAAATATACTTTTTTCCCTTGTGAAGACAAGACTCAATTCTGGTATTTCACTGTCCTGATGAGTGTTCACTTGTAATTCAAATGATCTAAATTGAATTCCTGTGAAGTGCTGTTTTGATCTATTCCAGGTTGATAAAGATTTTAAATAACAGATGAGCCAGTACTGACGACTATGAAACCCTTATATGACACCTATCATGCTGGTGATATGGAACAGCCATCATGGATTTGTAAAGAATAAATCATGTCAAACCAATCTGATAACTTTCTCTGATAGGATAATAAGTCTTGCGGATAAGGGAGAAGCAGTGGATGTGGTATACCTAGACTTTAGTGAGGCGTTTGATACGGTCTCGCATAATATTCTTATCAATAAACTAGGCAAATACAACTTAGATGGGGTAACTATAAGTTGGGTGCATAACTGGCTGGATAATTGTACTCAGAGAGTAGTTCTTAATGGTTTACAATCCTGCTGGAAAGGTATAACAAGTGGGATTCCGCAGGGGTCTGTTTTGGGACCAGCTCTGTTCAATATCTTCATCAATGATTTAGATACTGGCATAGAAAGTACGCTTATTAAGTTTGCAGATGATACCAAGCTGCGAGGGGTTGCGACTGCTCTAGAGGATAGGGTCATAATTCAAAATGATCTGGATAAATTGGAGAAATGGTCTGAGGTAAACAGGATGAAGTTTAATAAAGACAAATGTAAAATGCTCCACTTAGGAAGGAACAATCAGTTTCACACATACAGAATGGGAAGCGACTGGGAAGGAGTACGGCAGAAAGGGATCTAGGGGTTATAGTGGACCTCAAGATGAATATGAGTCAGCAGTGTGATGCTGTTGCAAAAAAGTGAACATGATTCTGGGATGCATTAACAGGTGTGTTGTGAGCTAGACATGAGAAGTCATTCTTCCGCTCTACTCTGCGCTGGATAGGCCTCAGTTGGAGTATTGTGTCCAGTTCTGGGCACTGCCTTTCAAGAAAGATGTGGAGAAATTGGAGAGGGTCCAGAGAAGAGCAACAAGAATGATTAAAGTTCTAGAGAACATGACCTATGAAGGAAGACTGAAAGAATTGGGTTTGTTTAGTTTAGAAAAGAGAAGACTGAGGGGGGACGATAGCCGTTTTCAGGTATCTAGAAGGGTGTCATAAGAAGGAGGGAGAAGACTTGTTCATCTTGGCCTCTGAGGGTAGAACAAGAAGCAATGGGCTTAAACTGCAGCAAAGGAGGTTTAGGTTGGACCTTAGGAAAAAGTTCCTAACTGTCAGGGTAGTTAAACACTGGAATAAATTGCCCAGGGAGGTTGTGGAATCCCCATCTCTAGAGATATTTGAGAGTAGGTTAGATAAATGTCTATCAGGGATGGTCTAGACAGTATTTGGTCCTGCAATGGGGGCAGGAGACTGGACTCGATGACCTCTCGAAGTCCCTTCCAGTCCTAGTATTCTATGATTCTATGATTCTTAGCTTCTTATTTACTTTTTTGGGAGGGAGGGGAGTGGTTTCTGTAGGCATGTCTACAGCAATTTTAACTCTCACATAACAATGATTTTGTGTATTAATGATTCTTACAGATTTTGTGTTTCCACTATGCATGAAAAAGAGAGGGTTTTGATTCCACTAATAACATAGAAAGGCCAATGATGTGTTTGAGTTTTGTGAGAAATGATTTAATAAGTATAGACAGAATGATAAACTACCAAGTCTTTGAATGAGAGCCAAACCTTAAACTTGTTCCCACTGAATTCAGTGATTAAAAACTCCCATTGTCCTCAGCAGTGCAAGTTTGGAGCACTTTCAAAAATAAATATTTATATTTCTGTCGGACCCCAAGCAGCATGGTCTAAACAGCATGAAAAGATTTCACCAACTAATACTTCTGGTTGCCAACTTTCTAACCAAACAAAATCAAACACCCTTGCCAAAGTCCTTCTCCCAGACCCCACCCTGCTCACTTCAGTCCCTCTCCGCACCCCCCTGACTCACTCTGCACTCTCATTTTCACTGGGCTGGGGAGGGTCCCTTTTCAACTAGGTGTTTGGCTGACGATCAGAAACATAGCCATCCTATTGAGTTAAAACACTGTGTGAATCAAAGGAGAGATGGTGAACTTGTGCTAATGAGAACAAAAATTAACAAAGAGCATTGATTAACAGACATTTGTAGATGCAAATCACCTCTGTGGATTTTGCAAGTCTAACACATTTTGCATATACAATTTGCAGTGGGAGAGTACAAGCTAAGTGTGTGCACAAAACCATAGTTGCTTAATACACTGTTATTCAGTAGCACTTGTGAAAGCAATTCAACTTCAGTGTATGTCAACGTCAGATGTCTTAGGTCCTAACTGCATTTAATTATTATTATTTTTTTAATCTAACCCTGCCTGTTGTAAGGAAAAGGCTCTCCCCGTCCTCTTTAGCCACCTGTGGGATTAAGATGATCTCAGTAGCAGACTCTACATTGTATTTTGCCTCATTAACCACATTTTGAAACTCACCATGCTGCTTTGCCAGGAATTAAGTTTCATGATTTAAAATTAACATAAGAGTTTAGTATAATTGAATTGGGACTGTGATATTTGACTTGTGGGATTACAATAGATAAAGGACTAATTTTCAGATAACCTCTATTTTTTAAAAGTAAACTGTAAAAGGTCACAGGGAGTTGGAGCTGTAAATCAGCTGATGTTCACAAAGATCAGTAAGTGATATCATAAAATTGAAGGTTATCCATTATATTCTATGTAAAACCCCACAAGTGTTTGTTTGTACTCAGTCATATGACATGCTTTTAGTTGAGGGACAAAAAATGCACATTGTAGTATAGTAGGTAATAGTATCTTTAGACCTACTATGGCTCAACTGCAATAAGTAATACAGGCAGTCCCCGGGTTACGTACAAGATAGGGACTGTAGGTTTGTTCTTAAGTTGAATCTGTATGTAAGTCGGAACTGGCGTCCAGATTCAGCCGCTGCTGAAACTGACCGCCTAGCAATGATGGAATCAACTGCAGGCTTTTAAAATGATCAGTTTCAACAGCGGCTGAAACTCCCCGCCAGTTCTGACTTACATACAGATTCAACTTAAGA